ATGAGTGACGTCCACAGTGTCCCGTCTTCAACAGCCCTGCTCAGCCTCTGCAGACTCACGCCTGTGGCTTCCTTTATGGACTCAATCCATCTCATATTTTGTTCCTCTTTTCCTGCTGCTTCCACTTTTCCCAGCATTATGGTCTTTTCCAAGGAATCCTGCATCTCACGATGGGCCCGCAGCAGGACAGCCTTGGTTTTATCATTTTTGCCTCCAGCAATAGTTCAGGCTTAATTTGCTCCGGGACCCACTTGTTCGTCTTTTTGGCAGTCCAGGGTATCTGTAGAGCTTTCCTCCAATGCCACATTTCAAATGAATCCATTTTTTTCCTGTCAGCCTTCTTTTTTTTTTTTTTCAGGTGAGGAAGATTATCCCTCAGCTAACATCTGTTCCCAATCTTCCTCTATTTTGTATGTGGGACACCATCACATTGTGGCTTGATGAGTGGTGTGTAGGTCTGAACCCGAGATCTTAACCTGCCAACCCCAGGCTGCTGAAGCCGACTGGACAAACTTAAGCCCCATGCCACTGGGCCTTCCCCCATCAGCCTTCTTCATTCTCCAGAGTTCCCACTGGTACACAGTAATGGGGACTACGACGGTGTGGATAAACTTGGCCTTGGTCTCTAACGACACTTCCTTACACTTGAAGATCTTTCCTAATTCTTTCACTGCTGCCTCCCAGTCTCAGTCTTCTCCTGATTTCTTGGCTGCAGTCGCCATTTAAATGGATGACTGAACCACGGTAAACAAAATCTTTAACAATTTCAATGTCTTCATTGTCTACGTTAAAGCTGTGTAGTTCTTCTGTAGTCATGATCTTTGTCTTCTTGATAATTAAGTGCAGTCCTGCTTTGGCACTTTCTTCTTTCACTTTTGTCAGAAGTCCTTTCCAGGCATTGCTGCTTTCTGCCAGTAAAATGTTGTCATCTGCGTATCTTAGATGGTGGATGTTTCTTCCACCAATTTTCAGTCCTCCTTTGTCTGAGTCTAGACCAGTTTTTCTACATGCAGATTACATAGATGGGGAGATAAAACGCATGCCATCTGAAACTTTGGCCTAAAGGAAACCATTCCATCTCTCCATATTCTGTCCTGATGTGGCTTCTTGTCCACAGCACAGGTCACACATCAGGACAGTCAAGTGCTGAGGGGTGCCCATTTCTTTCACAGCAGCCCATAGCTTTTCCTGGTCCACACAGTCAAAGGCATGACTGTCATCTGTAAAACATAGACTAGCCTTCTTCTGAAATTGTTGGGAGCACTCCAGTAGCCAGTGTGTAATCACAATTAGATCCCATGTGCCTCTCCCTTTTCGAAATCCAGCTTGGACATCAGGCATTTCTCATTCCGTATGAGGCAGAAGCCTTTGTTGCAGCTCCTTGAGCATCACTTTACTAGCATTGGAAAATAGAGCAATGGCCCTATACTGCACTCCTTGGCATTTCCTTTTGGGGGGATTGGAATCTATATTGAGTGTGTCTAGTCTGCAGGCCATTGTTTTGTTTTCCACATTTGTTGGTAGGGTTTTGGCAGGTTCTGTCCCTGTGGCTTGAAACACTTCTATTGCTATCCCATCCTCCCTGGTGCCTTGTTTCTCCCCTGTGCTTTCAGGGCAGCTTCCGCTTCATTTTCTAACCGTGGATTGTTCCTCATAGGAGCCTTCTTCAAAGGCGTCTGTCGTCCTTTGGCGTCTTCTGTGCAGACCCTTAGTGCACTGTCTCCACCTTCCTCTGCTTTCTCCTGATCAGGCGGTGTGCTCCCCTGTTGGTCGTCCAGCATTCCTAGTCTAGGTGTGAACTTCCCTTTGACTTCCTGAATCTTCTGGAAGAGACCCTGTTCTGTTTTTGCTGCTGTCTTCTGTCTGTCTGCACTGCCCATCATAGTAGTTCTCCTTACGTCTGCATGACAGTTGCTGGAAAACAGCATTTAGGATTCCAACCCTGTTTTTGTCATCTTTTCCTTTTGCTCCTGGCCTGTCCTTACTACTCTCCGAGCAATTTTCAAATATATGACACAGTATTGTTGACTGTAGTCTCCATGCTGCACATCCCATCCCCAAGACTGCCTTATATCGTAGCTCGAATTCTGTGCCTTTTGACTCCCTCATCCATTTCATTCAACAACACCTGGCAACCACCAATGTGTTCTCTGTGTTACAGAACATTCTTGAAATGACTCAATTATAGAAATGGAAAACAGATTAGGAGTTGCAGAAAGGAGAATGAGTGTGGTTATAAAAGGGCAACATGAGGGACCCTGTGGTGATGGATGTTCTGTGGCTTGGGTGCAGTGGTGGCACGTAGACCTCCCAAGTGATAAAGCCAAGTAAAGTCAAATACACACACACATATGCACACAAATGAGAACAAGTGAAACTGGGAAGTCTGAACAAGATCAATGCAACAAATTGATGTCAATCTCCTGGTTGTGATAATGTCCTAGAGTTTTGCAAAATGCTATTATTGGAGGATACTGGGTTAAAGGTACATGGGATTCCTGTATAATTTCCTCCAGCTGCATGTGAATCTGCAATTATCTCAAAACAAACAATTTAAAACAAAGGAAAATTTGTAATATGATTTCGTTAATGCGAATGCCATAAACAAAGCCCCGTATGTTCTCATCTGAGTGACTGCGGGTGAAAGGAAGAGGCCGGTAAAGCTTTGGCTGAGGACAGAGTCTGGCTGAACATCCCAAGGGACTCCCACGTGGCCAATTGCTGTTTGTGTTTTGCAACTAAGCTACCTGCTAAACAGTCCATTTGAGAGCTCATCCTGGGAATTCCATTATAAATTATCACAAGCAGCATATGTGACAGAAAACTGTAAGCAGCCAGAACCGTGGCTGCATAGTCCCTCGTACTGTCCCTGAATAATTGGGAAAAGGTGACGTCTTATAAGATCATGTCACTAAGGGAGTTCAATCATTAGTAGATGGTTCTGTGAATTCTTAAATAGTATTTTGTTGAAAGAATAGTTTATCTCAGTTCATTTCATTCTGTTTTTTTAAATTCTGCTTTTCTGAAGAAATTTCTACTTTACATACCAATTGTCTTAAATCAGAATATATACACATTTAATAAGAAGCATTGGAGGCCAGCCCCATGGCTGAGTGGTTAAGTTGGCACTCTCCGCTGTGGCAGTCCAGGGTTTCTCTGGTTCTGATCCTGGGTGCGGACATGGCACCGCTTGTCAGGCCACGTTGAGGCAGTGTCCCACATGCCACAACTAAAATGACCTGCAACTAAGATATACAACTAGGGACCAGGGGGGACTTGGGGAGATAAAGCAGAAAAAAAAAAAGATTGGCAACAGTTGTTAGCTCAGGTGCCAATCTTTAGAAAACAGAAAAAGAAGCATCAAACACCCTTCAAGGGCATTTAGCCTAAAACCCATTTGCCAGTGACTTTCTAATCTATGTCTCATAAATGACTCCCAGATGAAAATACAGCCTGGAGAAGAGGTCGTATTGCATGCTAACAGGGACCCTAACTTCACCTCTTCCGGCAGTGGGGCAGGGTCTCTCGTGTTTGTGAGCATAGCCTGGCTCCTTGTGAGCTCAGGGGAACCAGGGAAGTAGCCAAGGCTCCCATCCCCAGAGGATGGGAGGACAGAGACAGGGGTATTTGGAGGAATAGCCTCCATGAAAAGCTAAGACAGGGCAGTGGTTCATGTGGGAAATGAGACGGGCATTTTCACCTCCCTGATTTGTGAATATGTGTGTGGAGAATAGAGCACACACCAAATAAAACCTGTCATTTCCTCCATAAAATTCTATTTTGTAGATGCTTATCACTTTAATGAAAAACCTGCCCTTTTCCTGACTATTTTCAGACATATCTGTTGCCAAGACACTCTAGCCTACCCACTCAGGGGCGAGCACGGTGATCTCTAGGTCTGTCTCCTTGTAACCTTCTATGGACCTTGAGGATTCCCCAAAATGATGACAGAACCTGTGATGAATCTGTAGAACATTATAAAAGGCTTCAGGTGATAGAGGCGAATTTCTAGGATTACAAGAAGAGTCAGATGTTGTATAAATTAACTTAATACTATTTTACCAAAGTGTGATTTTTTAACAAAGTGTTGGCAATACCTCAGATGGAGTATCTTTCATCATTCATGTCCGATCCTATTCATGTGTTCTCAGTCAGTTAATGGTTTTGCTTTATGTTGTTTCATTTATAAGATTTATTTAAATTTGTCTATTTGATGTCCTTCACATGGTGAGAATTAACATGCATTTTCATAAAGCCATTATATTGAATACCATCCAAACCATTCTTAGCCAATTTATTAAGTAATGTCTCAGAACATATTCAAAATAACTGTGCCCACTCTGTAAATATTAATCATAGAAGATTATGCATAATGCCCACTTTAAACACTGTATTTAGATCTTGCTTTATAATTATAACAGTAAAATTTTTAAATTATTGCTTAAGAAGTTGTATTTTGTTTTATTTTTTAATTAGCAAATAGCATGCTCTTGTAAAATCGTGTAGGTGGAAAAGACTACAGCTTATTGACCGTCTTTGAGTGGAGAAGGACAAAAACGGAAACACAAAGGACCACCTACTGATGACATCAGCTGTGTATACATACAAACACACGTTGCACGCTTCTCTCATGAGCCCCTAAAGATTTCATAGCCTTAATACTTTTTAGACTTAATTGCAAAAATAACTCTTACCCTTAGTTTTATAAGAACATGTTTACAGTTTTGTGTAATTTTTACTTCACAAACAGTAATTTAATTAGTTTTCTAAAGGCATTTTTCTATAAGAAATTATTTACCAGAAATTAATTGGTTGTGAGATTAGCGGGTTGTCTCGACCGCCCCTCCTGCGGCGTCTCCGTGTGTCTGTGCACTCGGCCTGGGTATTAGGACCCGACTCTCTCCAGGTGCAAACCTCCCTGATAATCCCATCCCTCACGTAGGATTTCTGTTTCATTATGAGCGTCAGCCTCATTACTCTGTCTTTTTATTCTTCTCTAGAGTGACCACATCTGGTGGAAGAGGAAAAAAAATGTAGTTATTGAATCCAGTCAAGTGTTTGCATCTCTGAAATTTTCAACAACATCAGTCAAGGAAGGTTCCGGTTGGTTCCACAGACATATGGCTATCCCGGGAGCCACATAAAGGTAATGACTCTATGTCAGACTTCAGGCTTTACATGCAGACAAATGTTTTATATATTTACCTTAAAATTTCTTACTTTGGAAAGGATAAAGATGGTTTTGTGAATGGAGGGTCTTTTTTAATTTGATAAAGAGCATGACATCCTCTAATTTTAATAAACAAACTCAATGTAAAGTCAGAATTTATAATCTACTGCTCAGCATAGACTCAAGTAGCCTTCTGTTATCCAATTACAACATTACCCAAAAAATAATTTCCTAACCGTATTCATGGATCTGTTCACCCTTTGGCAGTTGTACAGAAGCTCCTTTGTACAAAGCGCCTTTAAAATCAGATTTCTGTTTCCACTACTAGTTCTATTTAGGGACATCTTGTCTTTAAGGAAATTAAGTAGGTCTTTAATTAGGGCCTCATTTGCATAGCCCAAGGTCTTTTTGGGTCGCTGTCAATTACTGTTGATAAACCTCCCTCAATGCCACTGTGGACCTTGACGGCCATGCTCTCGCGAAACTTCAAGTTGTGGCTAAGTTTCCTTTGTAAGATTTCTTTTAATTGTGGTAAAATACAAATAACACAAAATTTGTCATTTTAACCATGTTTAAATGTATAGTTCGGTGGCGTTAAGTACATTTACAGATCTGTGCAACCGTCAGCACCATCCACCTCCAGAACTTTTTTCATCTCCCAAACTAAAACTCTGTGCTCACTAAGGCAGTCACTCTCCACCCTCTTCCTCCAGCTTCGAGCAACCACCATTCCACTTTCTGTCTCTGAACTGGACTATTCTAGATACCTCTTATGAATGGAATCATACAGTATTTGTCCTTTTGCACCCCTCTTATTTCACTTAGCATGTATTATCAGCATGTTATTATTATTCACTTAGTTTATTATTTCACTTAACATAATGTTATAGCGTATGTCAGAATTTCTGTCCTTTTTAAGACTAAATAATATTCCATTGTACTATGTACCACATTTTGTTTATCCATTTACCCATAGATGGACACTTGGGTTACTTCTGTCTTTTGGCTGTTGTGAACAACATGACTGTGAACATGAGTGTACAAATATCCGTTTGAGTCCCTGCTTTCAATTCTACTATTATTTACCCAGAAGTGGAGTTGCTGGGTCATATGGTAATTCTAATTTCAATTTTTTAAGGAACCACCATACTGTTTTCCATAGTGGCTGCATCACTTTATGTTCCTACCAAGAGTGTACAAGGGTTCCAATTTCTCCACATCCTCCCCAAAACTTGTTGTTCTCTGTCTTTTTGTTTTATTATAGCTATCCTGATAGGTGTGAGGTGGTATCTCCTTGTGGTTTTGATTTGCATTTTCGTAATGATCAACGATGTTGAACATCTTTCCATGTGCTCATTGGCCATTTGTATATCCTCTTTTGTTGCCTATGCTTTTGGTGTCATATTCAAAAAATTGCCGAATCCAATGTCATGAAGCTTTTTCTTTATATATTCCTCTGAGAATTTTACAGTTTTAGCTCTATGTTTAAGCCTTTGTTCCATTTTTAGTTAATTTTTGTGTATGAAGTGAGTTAAAGGTCCAACTTCATTCTTTTGCATGTAGGTATTCAGTTTTCTCAACACCGTTTGTTGAAAAGACTGTCCTTTTCCCAATGAAAGGTCTTGGCACCCTTGTCAAATCATTTGACCAACTATGTGTGGGTTTATTTCTGGGTTCTCTGTTCCATTCCATTGGTCTATTATCTCTAAATTTATGCCAGTACCACACTGTTTTGATTACCGTAGCTTTGTAGTAATTTTTGAAATCAAGAAGTATGAAACTTCCAGTTTGTTCTTCTTTTTCCAGACTGTTTTGCCCATTTGGAGGTCCCTTGAGATTCCATATGAATTTTAGGATGGATCTATCTATTTATGCAGCAAATGACTTTGGGATTTTGATAGAGATTGCATTGAATCTGTAGATCACATGGCTAAGTTTGTTGATCAGACAGAAATTGAGGTTTTCATACTTTATAGTAGTGAATTTCCATATCCACGTACCATTAACTTAGAAAATTCCTTTTTTTCAGTTTGAAAAAATATTCAGATTTTATTATGAGTTTTTTTCTGAGCTTGGTCTGGTGAACAATAAGCAATTATATATGAATATTAAATATAGAGTTTTACAAAATCTGCACTGAGGATGAGGATACAGTTTGTGTTTAATTTCTTAAAACTCAGCATTTTGAAGGCTTTTATTCTCTAGCAGTAATTCCTTAGTCGAAAGCCACTGATGTCATGGAATGTTTCACATAATATCTGCCATCAAAGGTAAGTATATCTGGCATTCAGGAGTTCTTTGTTCATGATAAGAGACTACAAGATATAAAAACTTAGATATTGTGGGACATCTCCCAAGACCACAGTCAACATAAATATGCAGAGGACACAGTGTAATGAGTGTGTGACACCCCCCTGTGTCATCTTTGGTGTAATGAAACCTGTCAATGATTGAGCCCTGCCATGTACACCAGCACTCTGCAAGCACTGAATTCCTCCCAAACTCTGTGATTCTGAGCGATTATTTTTTCCACTTTAAAGGTCACTAAAAGGACGATGAGAGAACTTAAGTAACTATCCTAAGATGATGTAATTAATAAGTAGCCAAGACAGTTCCTGACCCAGGCATGGGTGGTCTACAATGGAATAGAAAGAAATTCTGTTTAGGATCTAGATTTAACATAAATCACTAATTCCAAGTAACCTTCAAATTTCAATGGTTAATCCAAGTCTACTTTCAAGTCAAATAAAAATATTTAGAAGTTATCATTAAACTATGGATGCAACAAAAAACTACTCAAAGAAAAGGCTTTGTTCACAACTACCCTTTTCTGTCACAGGTACCAAGGAATAAATGTGTATTAATCATTTTTCATTAGTTTCTCATTTTCTCAACACTGTTGAGTACTTATTTTGTTCCAGGAACTCTTCTAGTTTCTGGAGGTATAAAAATGAGTTAGAGATGGCCCTTGTCCTCAAAGAGTCACAAGTTGAACAAACAGAAAACACAGAAAGGACGCTGAAGAGACGAGACTGCAAGGTGCTTCCTTCAGTGCAAAATCTATGCCTTGTTTCTTTCTATATTCCACGGCTGAGCATATTTCCTGGTTCCTATGAGGTGCTCAGTCACCTCTCATTGAGTCAAAAGAACTCTGAGTAAGATGATTTAGGAAGGCGCAGAAGAGGTCTTAACTCTGATTAGAGAGGTCAGAGATGACTTTACAGAGGAGGTGATCCCAGAACTGGGTCTTGAAGGATCAGTTGATTAGATGGATAAATCTGGGAATGACTTACTATGTAGTAAAACAATACAAAACCCAGAGATGGGATCAAGGCATAGATATGGATACCGGTCACTTGGCATATACAGCTACATATTAGGACAAAGGGCTTAACTCTTCGTGGCTTGGGATTGGTGTTCGTAAAACAAGTGTGGTTCTGTATGACTTCTGTGGTCCACAGGAGAGAGAACGTTATGTGGTCTGTCTCATTACCCTTTCAGATGCAGTGTATGGAGTGGTCCACTGTAAGGACTTGTCTACCTGCTCTCAATTCTAGAAACTGATTACAAACTGCTTTCACTCCTTTGCCCACCACCCTTTCTACCTCCCATGAAACGTTATTGTACTCAACTGTCTGGATTCTAGTTTGGCCTCCGTGATGCAGTTGTTCGAATGATAGATTTCCAGGATTGTTCTTTTGTTGGTCCTACTCTTTAGAATACAACTCAAAATCAGAAATGCTCAAGTGGAAGGCCTGTAGTACCTGCCACCGTCGCTAACTAGTGGCTGTCGAGTGCAGCCTAGTCCTGTGGCCTTCAACTTCTGGGTCTTCCTCACCCTGTGACTCCTCACTGCCCCATGTGTCATGTTTCCTGTCCACAGCAGCAGCTTTCTTTAGCATCCCCAGTTCAGAAGGACTTTAGGGCTTGCTCTTAGGGGAGAAATAAAAGTGCCACAGAACAAGATTTAGATTGAGGGCATTTTTTGTCCTAGTGTGTCCCAATTAGCCACTGTGATTGCTGAGCCATGAACACCTGTGGCGTCTCTGCAGCTGGCACTCTAGGAAATCCAATTTCCTCTGAACTAGAGCCCAAAGAGAAAATCACACTCTGCATCCAATTTCCATGCTAAAGACGACTTAAAATAAAATCAATATCTGTTTCCCAAAAAACTTTATGAATTGTGTTCTGAATGGTGACTATTTTAAAGAAAAGTGCATCGTGGGTCCAGAAGGAAGAATCTGCTGAAATAGCTCCAACTTTGTAAATCTGTGCCCTTTGACCCTTTGAAATGAATTTATTTAAAACAGCTAACAAATACCATTAGGTTTCATCCTAGCACTGCCAGTAACCACGTGTATGCCTTTGGGCAAATCCCTTCAAAGCCTTACTTTCTTTTTCTGTAAAATAGGAATAGAGGGCTAGATCAAATGAGGTAGATACACGAAAATAAAGTTAACTACCAATGACAATAATAATAGTTATTCATTAAATATCTACTGTGTACCAAGTGTTTTTCTGAAAGTGCTGCTCCACGCATCCCATTTGGTCCTCAAAACACCCTAGGAAGTTGGCACTATTCTTATCCATATTCATTTATATTGGAGAAAACCAACGTACAGAGAAGTTAAATAATTCATTCAGTGTTACGCAGTTAGTAAAGGGCACAGATGGGATTCAAACCTGGGTTGGCATTTTAACTTCCCAGCCCATGTTCTTCACTCCTGGGAACCACCTCTGCAATGTTTCCAAAGCCCTCTGCAGCTATCACACCTTAGTACTCTTGTGTCTGTTCCACATATACTCACAATATATAATTTTTGTGTGCATGTATTATGTATTCTGTGTGTGTCTCTATATGTGTACACACCAAGAATTTGTAAAACTGCCAGGCTGCTACTAAATGACACTGTTCTGCCTGATGGTGCCACGCTGTTAATCTGACGTTGCAGTTCCCCACTCCCTTGCACCCTTTC